GACAGGGTTTCTCTGTGTGGTTTTGGTTCCTGTCCTGGATCTCGCTCTGTAGACCAGGCTGGCCTTGAACTCACAGAGGTCCACCTGGTTCTCCCTCCCAAGTGCTAGGATTAAAGGCGTGTGCCACCGCCCCCTGGCTGTGCCTTTTTTGGTTTTGTCTGTTCTTGTCTTGTGAATAGACTGAGAGTGTAGGTTTTAGAAGAGGAGATAATGTGTTTCTCCTTGCATCCTTTCAGAGGACAGAAGATGCCAGTATGACTTGTTACTAGTGATGTCAACCTTCATCATTTTAAAAGATCTTTTGTTTGTTTGTTTGTTTTGAGACAGGGTCTCACTATACAGCACTGGCTGCCTGGAACTTGCCAGTGCACTATCCCTCCTGCCTCTGCCTCTCGGGTGCTGGGATCACAGGCATGCACTGCTGCACCACTGCACCGCCAACCCTGCTGAAAGTTTTGTTTTGATAAGGCACCTGGGCCAGGTGGGTAGGCTGTGATTCTAGCTTCTCTGCAGGGTTGAAGCAGAAGATGGGGCAGAGGTAGCCTGAGCTACAGAATTAAATTCAAGCCTAATCTGACCAACTCACTGAGGCCCTGATTCATGTAGCTTAGTGTTACAGCACTTGCCTAGCATGTAGGTGGCCCTAGATTCAGATCTCATTACCATACATACTTAAAAAGAAACCAACTTATTTGTTTGCTTGTGCTGTCCTGATGTAGTCTGAAAAACTAATTTAATCAAGATCACAAAGATTCCCTTTAGGTTTTGAGTTTCATACTGTTAGGTCTTACAGTCAGGTTGTGGTTCACTTAGTTTTGTACACATTGTAAGGAAGCATCCAGATTCATTGCTTTGCACGGGACAGCCAATGCCTTAGCACCATTTAGTTTTCTAAAGATTTATTTTGGGGGCTGGAGAAATGGCTCAGCCATTAAGAGAGGTTCTTGTTCTTACAGAGGGCCCAGCTTTGGTTCCCAGCACCCACAGCAGGTGGCTCACAATTGTTTGTAACTCCAGCTTCAGGGGCTCCAAAACCCTCTTCACATGGTACACATGCAGACACATTAAATAAAAAAATAAGAAAGGGGGGTTGGTGTGGTGGTGCACGCCTTTAATCGCAGCACTTGGGAGGCAGAGGCAGGCGGATCTCTGCGCCAGGGCTACACAGTGAGACTCTATCTAAAAAGTGGGGGTGGGGGCTGGAGAGATGGCTCGGCAGCTAACTGCATTTAGTGTTCTTGCAGCGATTCAGTTCCCAGCACCCATGTTCAGGTGGCTCACACTGCCTGTAGCTCTCACTTCAGGGGATCCAACATCCTCTTTTGTCCACCAAGAACACATCTGACATATATATAAAATTATTTTTATTTTTAAATTATATGTATTTGTGGAGAGAAAGGTTTGTGCCTGTGAATGCAGATATGCACAGAGGCCAGATGTGTCCAGTCTGGAGCTCGCCCTGACCAGGGTGCTAGGAAGTAAAGCTGGTCCCCTGGAAAAGCACTACACACTTTTGAGTGCTGAGCCATGTTTCCAGCCCTCAACTCCATTTGTTGAAGAGATTTTTTTTTTTTTTTGTTTTCACCCACTGAATGGTCTTGACATCTGTTTAGTTATTTTTCACACTGTGAAGACAAAATACCCCGCAAAAGCAGCTTCTGGGAGGAAGGTTTGTTCGGCTCGTGGATGAGGCTGTAGTCCATCAGCGGCGACTGGCATGGCAGTGGTGACCCCATCACGCTGCACTCGGGAAGCAGAAAGCCATGAGTGCTTCTCCACTCGCTGTCTTTATTCAGTCCTGGGCTCCAGCCTGCGTGGAACGGTGCTGCCCATGCTCCAGGCAGGTCCTCCCACTTCCGCTAACCTCTGGAGAAGTGTCCTCACAGAAAAACCCAGTTCTGTTCCTACACCGTTCTAAGTCCCACCAAGTTCTACGTCAAGGTTAACCATCATGGCACTTGTTGAGAGCCAGTGTGCCAAGTCTGCATGGATTTCCTTCTGCATTCTCAGCTCTGTCCATTAACTGTGTCTGTCTCGTGGTAACACATCACCGTTTTCACACCGCA